ATGGGCCCATAGGGGCTGGAGGACTCTTTTTCCCCTGCTTTAGGGCAGGAGGGGGGAGTCCTCCACGTTATAGCACCTCCGCGGGGTAAGCGCGTCAGGGTGTACTCTGTCAGCCGCAGCCTCTTTTCTCTCCACGGTTACGACCGAGGGAGAGGTGAGTGAGGCGCAGCGGCTGCTAACCAGAAAGCCGGTCAGAAACAGTGAGATGGAACAGTGTTGTTGTGGGACGACAACTGTACCCAGAGAGTCCAGTAGAGGGCGGAGCCAGTGAGAGATATAACGAGGGGTTACGTATGGTAACCCTTGTTATATAAACACAGGCGGAGCCCTCTACTATTGGGCCCTGTCTGTCCTATGCTGCTTCTCCTTTTATGCGGTGAGATGTGCGCGCATTCAGGTAGGCCCGCCCAGGGGCCGGCTACGTCTAGAAAGTCTCAGTGGATGAATGCTTGCATGATAGGATCGAGGGGAGAACCCATAGAGTCCAGTAGAGGGCTCCGCCTGTGTTTATATAACAAGGGTTACCATACGTAACCCCTCGTTTCCGATCTTACGGCGCTGGTTCTCTTTTTAGCGGGCTAGATCTCCATGGTAACTTATGCTGAGCGGCTAACCTGGTCCGGAGCAGGTTAGGTTGCAGGCTAAGAGATCAAGTCAGTGAAAGCACCGCCTGCTGACCAATCAGAGCTCAGTGTGCGGAGTTTAAAGCTATCAAGTCATATTACAGGATAGAGGAAATACAGTTTAAAACTGCCGTTGCAGGAAAGACGGCCGGCAAAAATCACCGACTGTGTGAACGTGAAAATTAATAGAATATCACCTCCCATCTTCAGAGCAATCTGACTATTATAACATTAGCGTTAAGAAAGCTTACTTAAAGTGGACCTATCATGCTATATTTGAATAATATAGTGTAGGACCATACCTATATAAGGCATATTTATACTTTTTTTTTTTCAAAATACCAAACAGATCATGCATTTTAGCCATGCCTCATTTTGCTCAATTTGACAATTTATAGCTCTGTTTGTGCAAGGGCAGATTCAGTGAGAACAGCACCATCTACTGGCCTGGCATATGTACTACAGCGTCTCCAGCGCTTTCGAACGGCAATGGCCGTGGCGGTTCTCCTCCTGATTGGTGGAGTTGGCCCAATAGCCGTAGCGCCCACCGCCTGACGTCAGGACAGTGTTCAAATCTGGATCAGTTTTTATCAGATCCGTTGCAGCCCCTTTTTTAGAGATTTGGGTATTGAAGTAAAAAGATATGATTCTAAACTGTATTGAAGTAAACATGTATTATTTTGAATTGTATTTTAGTGAACATGTATTGTTTGAACTGTTTTAAGTAATCACATATATAGAAATGATATTCTCACTTACAACTCACTGACCCAGAGATCCTGTTTCACACACACACAGCTCCTTTTCACCAGAGCGCACACACATGTTCTTTTTCAAAGTTCTTTATGGGCATCATTATATCTGTGTACAAGGTTTAATTGTATGAGAAAGAATAGTTTATGTGAAAAATCCCATGGGAAAGTAAGGGAGTGGATATCGGGGCAGAGATAAGATTGACTTTGACCTTGTGAAACTTTAGAATCTCACGTTCTGGTCAGAACTCTGATTCGCTGTATTGAACCCGACCAGAAGTGAATCCAACCAGTAAAAACACCTGGGGGATGTGAGCAGCTCACACAGCTCCTCCTCACGGACTCTCTAATTCGCTTTGGAGTAAAAGGGGAAGGGAAAAGTTAACACATCTCCGCCCCAAAATATGAATATGAATACTGTTGTTTTTGTATGTAAAATGCTTCTTGTTTGGTGAGTTGGCTGGTCCCGATACTTGTATCCGCATCGCATCACAAACCTGAAGTCCGGAGTACTCTGTACAACTAAGTATACGTGTTTTATTTCCTACCAGTAAACTCAGATAATTGTTATAACTTTTGATTCCGGTGTTTTCAATTCCTTTCTTTATTAAATAGAGATCAAGCCTCATCCAACGAACGGCGCGGAGAGGGGGCTATCAGCTACCAGATAGGTGTTCTGCTCCAACAGTATGGAGGAAAATAGAGAGGGTTGTGTTTTCTGACACTTGGTGAGTTCCCTGGAACACCGGGGACACATATTCATGTATAGAAGACGTACAAAAGTGCATTTTGCATGATAGGTCCCCTTTAAATATCTGCCACAACACAAGTAACCGGATCAAAGTAACATTAAGTACAGTCCGCGGCACTGTGAGTGCAGACGTCGATGTGTCCCATTATCATTCATATCACATCATATCACATCATAATGTATCATATATTTCCTTATCTGAGTCAGCTTCTTGAGCCGTATCTGGCTGTGCAACACTCACAGTGTCACATACTGTATGCAGAAGTATTATTTTAAGCAACACATTAAGTTGACGAAACACTCGAGTCAAATGTAATTAAAGTCGGATCCACTCGTGTCTTAGACGGGGCAGTGATATCATAAACCTGTTAATGTACGCATTCAAACACTTTTTCTTTTACCAGCTGTATTCACCTTACAGGTGCAGCTATGTGGCTTTTATCCTGGATAAAGTGTTTAAGTCATGGATGTTTAAAGTTTAACGTCTTCATATTTGTCTAATATTATAGTTGACTTTTCATTCAGGAAGTATGACGCGCTGCGCTGTCAGTACACTTGTCCATGTTTGTGATTGGTCGAATGCTCCAAATACCACCCCTTTCATGTGAACGCGCACCTAACTAGATAGGACACGGCTGGCTTGAGCGATCCACTTGATAACCCGCGTCGTAGGACCGCTAACTCAAACATATCCAGGTTATGTTGAACCGGCTTCGTCGTACAGGCCTCTGGTCTCCATCCTCCAGCTGCCTCTTCACATCCAGCTCCTCCTCATCCATCTCTGCTAACACCTGACTCAGAAAACATACAAGATAACAACTGAAAACACCATAAACTGTAGTTCAAAGGTTTTATCATCATATGCTCATGAGCTACAGTGTAGAAATGGCAATGAAATTCTTCTGACCTGAGCTCCTCCAACGATGCAACATATATAATAACATACACAAATACAAATAAAAAATAATGCAAGAAGTCCATATTCATGTCAATATAATATGATATGAACAAGAACAGAATATGAAATTAAATAATGTACAGTGGAGGCGTGTGGCGCAGTGGATAGAGCAAGACACTTCACCCCAAATTGCTCCTGTGGGGATTGTCCACAGTATTGAGTACAGTATGTAAGTTGCTTTGGATAAAAGCGTCTAACAAGTAACATGTAATGCAATGTAATGTACATTAAGAAATTAAATATAATTGCGGTGATAACTATTTATATAAATAAGTATATTGCAAGATGACAAACAGGACTTTAACTCAGGCCAGGACATATGACCTTATCACACTTACCTGTTGCTTTTAGAAGAGATTTTAATATTGTATTTCTAATTCCCCAGCTCTGTGAAGTCACTTTTAAAAACTCTCTTTTTTACGATTGCTGTTATGTGGTTTTATTTTTCATTTATCCCTTTTTTTACTTTATTATTTTCTATCTGTTTTACTCTGTGTTTTTATGTTTAGTTCACTTGCTGTGTTTGTGTTCTGGTAAAGCACTTTGTATGTTTTGAAAGGTGCTACATGAAGAAAGTGTATTATTATTACAAATTATATATAAAGGGAAACAGCACAGTTCTGAGATCTTTACACTGGCTTCCTGTCTGTCAGAGAACTGATTTCTAAATACTGCTGCTGGTTTGAAAAGCATTGAATGGTTTATTCTGATCTCCTGCTACATTACAAACATGGAGAAGTTCAGTTATTAAGCTCCAAATATCTGGAAAAACAAACTACCAGAAACCTACAGGTCCTTTTAAATCAAGACTGAAGACTTTCTCACACTGCACTGTAACTTGTATTCATGTATTTTATATATGAGCTTGTTTTATGTTTATTTTATTCTCTTTGACAGTTTTTAAATGCCATTTCATAATGTGTTTCTGCTGCACTATTTCTTAATGTTGTTCATGTTTGTAGAGCACCCTGTGTTGAAAGGGGACCGTTAGTCCGCTCTCCACACATCCTCACCTGTTGATATTTGGTCACGTGTTTTCTCTCGGGTCACAGAATATAACGGGTGACAGAACTCATCAACACACCTGTTAGCATTAGCAGCGTGTTCACCATAAGCCTTTTTAATCGTTTTCAGACACCACATCTAGCCGTTAGCTGACAACACCTGAAGTAAAAAGTGACATTACCTGTTAGACAACCTTTACAGTGAGTCGAAAGTGAATTAAGTGAATTAAGAGACGTTACAGAGCTCAGATTATAATGTTTTACTTGTTAGCTGTTAGCAGCAAACTGACGCTCCTCTGTTTCTACGGTAGCATGACGTCATCACGTAGAGGCAAACCGACGTTCTTCTGTTTCTACGGTAACATGGCGTCATCACTTAGAGGCAAACCAACGTTCTTCTGTTTCTACGGTAACATGGCGTCATCACGTAGAGGCAAACCGACGTTCTTCTGTTTCTACGGTAACATGGCGTCATCACGTAGAGGCAAACCAACGTTCTTCTGTTTCTACGGTAACATGGCGTCATCACGTAGAGGCAAACCGACGTTCTTCTGTTTCTACGGTAACATGGCGTCTGCCAGGACGCAAAGACTTCTACCTCTCATTCTTTTTTTTAATGCATTCAGATAAAATAACATAATAACGTACATTTAAAAGTAGGATATCGGTTGGCATCGAGACATAACAAATACAAATATACATTCAATTTAAAATAGCTTTATTCTTATTATTACATTATTTACAGGTAACCAATCAGAGCAGACAGCCTCTGGTTTCAGACAGAGGGTGAAAAGAGGCAATCAGGCAATATGAGAAAAATAAAGAGCTTTTTGAACATTAAAGAATGGAGACATGAAATAGATGAATAAATTACTGAAGCTCATATTTGATTTACTTACTCCGTTTATTCAATTGTATTATTAGTCATTATTACAACACATAATCACACTCAGCAGCAACCACTGTTTTTATTTATTTCTTCATTAGTCGTGACTTCCACCCGCTCATAACTCATATTTTAAGATTCCCATTTAGTTCAGGATTTCCTTCCTGCTGAAATGCTTCTTTAAACTTCTCGTCACTTCAACACAAACATTCAGTTTCTGCATTCAGGAGGTCGCATCTGTCTAAAGTAGGTAGTTAAAACGTTAAAATAGAAAGTAAACATATATTAAGGGACATTATCTTTATTGCACAAAATATGTAAGATATCTAAGTGTCTTAATAGCTTGGGTGATTCATCTGTTTTAAATCAGAGGCGACTGTATCTTCAATTATCTCAGGTGTTATCGTGCAGCTTCTTCCCAGCAGAGAGGATCCCGACTCCTTATCCACGAAATCTGGAACCAGCAGACAAAAACTGATGAGTCAGGGTTTATTCTTTGCAGTTTAGTCTAAAAAAAATAGATTTTTTTATAAGTATTTCATATTCCCCGCACACAGGGGCAAGCATTGCGGAGCTGCCTGCAGATGATGGCACTGGATTAGAGTTAAATACACACATTAAATTCTTACTTAATGGTCTTTATTTCGTCCAGGACATGGAGATGATGGCTGGGTTTTTGTCCGCATATTTAGAGGCTCTGCGCCTCCTGCGAGAGCGAGGGTTGCAGGTCTGTGGGAGAGAGAGGAGCGTTACTTTATGGACAGATTTAAGTATTTAAAACACTGTTTGTACACATTCAAGATTAAGTAATTTTGTATGTGTCCTTGAGAAAGGTCCAAATGTAGTTTGTTAGCTTAAGTAGTTTCAGGGAGTGGGTTAGCTTAGTTCCTTAGTTAAGTATTAATAGCTAAAAATAATGTAACTAAGGTTAGCGTTAGTAGCTCAAGTTAGCTTTTGTAACCAAATGAAGTTACTTGACAAAATAACATTAGGTTAAGGAAGTTAACAAATAATACAAATAAATTAGCTTAAATAACCTCAGTTAGCTTAGATAACCTGAATTAGCCTAAATAACCTTAGTTAGCTTACAGTAGATCACCTCAGTTAGCTTAAATAACCTCAGTTAGCTTAGATGACCTGAATTAGCCTAAATAACCTTAGTTAGCTTAGATCACCTCAGTTAGCTTAGATAACCTAAATTATCTTAAAGGGGACCTATCATGCAAAATGCACTTTTGTACGTCTTTTATACATGAATATGTGTCCCCGGTGTTCCAGGGAACTCACCAAGTGTCAGAAAACACAACCCTCTCTATTTTCCTCCATACCCAAATCTCTAAAAAAGGGGCTGCAACGGATCTGATAAAAACTGATCCAGATTTGAACACTGTCCTGACGTCAGGACGGTGGCACTACGGCTATTTGGCCAACTCCACCAATCAGGAGGAGACAGCCACGGCACTTGCCGTTCGAAAGTGCTGGAGACGCTGTAGTACATATGCCAGGCCAGTAGATGGTGCTGTTCTGCCCTTATCTGCCCTTACACAAACAGAGCTAAAAAATGTCAAATTGAGCAAAATGAGGCATGGCTAAAATGCATGATCTGTTTGGTATTTTGAAAAAAAAAAAGTATAAATATGCCTTATATAGGTATGGTCCTACACTATATTATTCAAATATAGCATGATAGGTCCACTTTAAGTAACTAGAGTTAGCTTTAGTAGCTACAATTAGCTTATGTAACCAAAGTAAGTTACTTGAAGTAATAACATTAAGTAAGTTAGCTTAAAAAACTAAGGTTAGCTTGTGTAACTCCAGTAAATAAGTAAGCTTTGGTATTAACTAGGGATGCTCAGTGTATTCAATGTCTGTGACCAATAAATGGGTGCCTTAAAAATAACCATTATCAAGATGCTAGTTTAGCATTAGCATGAGACTCGGATTGCTAACAGTAGGCTATTAAATAGGTTACTCTATTTTCTTCTTCTGAGATGCAGAAACATCATCTTAATAAAAAACATTCGATTTTAATTGTGTTTCTAGTCTCTTCTTACCGGCTGGCAGGAGTTTCCCATCCTGACGCACAGCTCCAGTTTGCAGTGCAGGAAGATTTCTCTGTTTCCTCCGTTGAACTCGAACATGTTAAAAGAGAACACGTTGGAGGTTCCCTGTCCGTTTCCACTCATCTTCACCGTCTCATCGTTAGCGTTCGGGCATCTGTTGAGGAACAGGAACACAGACATCATGACTACATGTTCAGCAGCAGACCTTTCTTATGATGCCCCAAACATAATTTAAGTTTTTTTAAATTGGGGTTTTCTATTTAGTTGTGTTTTTAAATGTTTTTACATTGTGTATGAGTGTTTTTCAGTCTGTGACTATAAGCATGGTTTTATTGTCTCGTGTTTTTACATTTGTTTTTTTTGTCCTATTGGTGAAAATGTATTTATTACATTACATGTCACTTGTTAGATGCTTTTATCCAAAGCGACTTACATACTCAATACTGTGGGCAATCCCCACAGGAGCAATTTGGGGTGAAGTGTCTCAGGGACACAACGACATGCTGACTGCAGTGGGGTTTGAACCTGTGGCCCCTGATCCGAACACCAACACACAACCCACTACACCACACGCCATTTATGCTGCTTTTTAGATATTTATTGATGTACAGCACTTTGGTCAACTCTGTTGTTTTTAAATGTGCTGTATAAATAAAGTTGGATTGGACTGGATAATATTTAAAGTACCAGGATGTACTGAATCTGCAGTACAGATTATTTTGAGAAAGGGGCAGGTAATATCAGATTATTTTCTTCTCCCTGCTTCTTTTCGGGTACGGTGTGTTTATAGAGACATGCTTTGTAACTAATTGTTATACATTAAGTTGTGCATACCATGAACAGAAAAAATACAAAAAATGAAATAGTGTTTTATTTTGCTTATTAGATATTTCCACAGCTCACAAACAAAGTAGGCGTTTTGGATGCTATCTCAGATCTGTGTATGTCTCACCCGCTGTTGATGAGGTCGTATCTCAGATTGTTGTTTGGAGACGACTGGCTGGTGGCCCAGCAGGAGTCGGTCACGATGGAGACTCTGTTCCCGTCCAAACCCTCCGTCTTCAGCTCTAACCAGATCCTCTGGTTCAGCAGCAGCTCTGTCTCTGGCTTCACGACATACAGGAGGTTCTGGTCCAGGTAGGCGCTCATCTGCAGGGTGTAGTTCCACTCTCCAGAGGTCAGCTCCTGCACCACAGAGCTGCAGAGCACACACACACACACACACACATTTGATTTGATTTATTTCAAAGAACTTGTAAAACAATAATACAAACAAATTATTATTTGACGTTGTATGTCATATTTTACAAGACAAATACAAAAGACTATCTCTATACATCCACCATCCAAAATACATTTGTTATTAAAAACACACACAGTATAGCGGTGTGAAGCTTGGAGCTGCGGTACTTTAAGGACCAGGAGAAGCTCACCTGTCTTTGATCCTGAAGGCGAAAGTCTTGATCTCCGGCTCTTTGTACAGGCAGGAGAAGTCGATCTGGATCTGGTCGTGACGCGTGATCACGCCGTACTCTGACATGTTCCTCGTCATGATGGCGTTCTTGTAGAGGATCATGCTGTTGTTTTTCTGCAATGTGAAAGAAAACGTTAAGTTAATTTAATCACAGCTGTCACATTATCCTCGTGGTCATTAACAGTCCAGACAGAGAAATCTCACTGGTCTCCAGCTTGAGCTTCAAACAGATCTATTTATTTATGATCCTCTCCAGAATGTAAGTAGTCATCACATACAGAGCATCAACTAGTTCCTGAACAGTGTCCTTCACATGCTGATATCCAAGAGAGGGAGTTACACAGTCACAAGATGGAGGAATAGAAAGCAGTATTCAATGTTTAGTTCAGATTAGCTCCACGTCAGAAATGATCATGCTTGTCATATGTCTATCTCCATAGAGGCTGAATCATCATGTTAATCACATAGCTATCATATGCCTAAAACAGTCCTGATGCTCTTCTAGGTAATCATACATCCTGTCATGCACACAGCTACAGTTGGGATACCTTTGTTATCATGTTACTCTCATATTGGAAGAGGACATTCAGGAATCTTCTAAATATGAGTTGCAGGAATCCTCACTCACCACGACCTCCGTCCCGCAGATGTTGCTGCTGTCGAATCCGAAGGTCACCATGTGGGTCTCGTTGTCCATTTGGCCCTTGCAGTTGGGGTCGTTCAGATGTAAAACTGAGTAATCGATGCCTTTGTCAGCCAGAAGACATCCAGCCAGAGTCACAGAGGCCGAGTCCTCCCTGCAGACCGCCGGCTCGCCTGCAAACACACCAACACTTCAGTAAAGATCAGAAGTTTCTAACTAAACTAAATATATGTTTTCTGGTGAAGCTAGAGTTGAGCTACACGTCAGAATCAGAATCCCTTTATTAGTCCCACAGAGGGGACGTTTACATTGTTACTGGGTGCAAAAATTACACAATTTACAAAATACACATCCTGTAACAGTTCTGAGGATTTAGCAGCCAGGTATATATTGCACAGTTATTAACGGCATATATATATATATTGCACATTGTTGGTATTTAACAACAAGGGGTGTTATAGTCTGTGTTGTTGTGTTCTTGTGTGTCATTGCTGTGTGTTTCTGTACCTAAAGAGTTGGTTGGTGTGTATTTGGAGGCGAACACACCCCGACAGAGGCAGAGGCCACGCCCACTTTTATCTCCACAGAACTCATGTTCACTGCAGAGCTGCTGACAAACAGGGACTTCAGCTACACACACACACACACACACACACACACACACACACACACACACACACACACACACACACACACACACACACACACACACACACACACACACACACACACACACACACACACACACACACACACACACACACACACACACACACACACACACACACGCACACGCACACACATCATTAGTCTTTTCTGTATCTGCTACTTTCTGCATTTATTTCCCACCTCTGGCTACAAAATGTTTCAATTACTTTTTCTTTGTTCTGTTATCAGATTCTGGGCGATTGTAAAAGTGAATCTTACAGCAGGTGGTTGTTGACCTCCAGTCCTCCAGGGTGATATCTGCCTTCAGACTGCAGGACTGGGCGTAAGCCTCCATGAACTGGCAGTCGACACCATCAACTAGACGGTAGTTACACAAAGTTTCTGTGCAGGCGGTGATGAACGGCTCTGGATCGGTGTGGTTGTGACAGGCGGAGAAGGGAGCCTGCCTCAGGAGATTACAGCTGTTCAGAAGAGTTGGGGTAAATTATCAGTTTTCTGAACAGTGTCAGAAACATCCCTGCTCATATAACAGTCAGCTCTTACTGGTCGGTGGCGAGGCTGCAGTCGATCGAGTTGTCGACCGTGTCTGTGTGCTGAATCTCACAGCTAGAGGGAAACAAACATCACATTACATTTTAAACAACATCATGATAAACAGGCACTATCAGTCAGACTAAGAAGTACCCAGGGAGGCTGGAGGAAGAGGACCACATTATTAGAAACATGTTATATCAGACTAAGAAGTACCCAGGGAGGCTGGAGGAAGAGGACTTCTCTGCAGCTAGGCTGGTCATCTTGCTGGAATCAGAGGGACTGCCACACAAACCCTCCATAGCTTCAATTTGTCCTGGTGGATGTGAGAAAGAAATGAAAGACTTTTAACCTAACAAGCACAGATAGCATTATTTGATTCAAACTGTAATATAGCGTTCAGTACCTGCCACATGTGCGGTGTTGCCATCGAACAAGATAGTCATATTGTAAGATGGTAACTCGACAGTTACTATATTCTGGTTCCGGAGAACTCCACGCCGTTATGCGGCTGCGCGATGCTGCTGAGCGTCAGAATCTGCTCATCAACCTACAAACAACACAGGCACACACATATATTAGCGCTTGTTCACAATTGGATTTTGTAATGTGTGTACGTCCCCTTTAAATACACCAACACAAAGTAACGTCTGGCATGCAATGCTTAAACTAACAACCCATGAATACAATGTGAGTTGTGAAGGATTGTGAAAGCTTACCAGAACTCTTCCACCTTGTTCCAGATGAATCATAACGCCTGGAAGTGATATAATGAAACGGTCCAAAAAAAGTGCATCTGTACGCCGTCGTTCCCGAAAACTAGCCATGAGGTTGAAACCTGAGCTTCCTTCTGACTTCATCAGAGTGTAAACACAGCGGTCAGGAACAGAGGTCGCTCTGTCGAACACATCGATGACAGTGGAGCCAGTAACAGAGCACACAACGTATTTAATGTGAGGAGCAGTAGGTGCAACAGTTGGTGCGTCTGTTGGTGCAGTAGTTGGAGCGGCAGTAGTTGGGGCTGCAGTAGTTGGGGCAGCAGTAGTTGGGGCGGCAGTTGTTGGGGCTGCAGTAGTTGGAGCAGCTGTAGTTGGGGCTGCAGTAGTTGGAGCAGCTGTAGTTGGGGCTGCAGTAGTTGGGGCAGCAGTAGTTGGGGCGGCAGTTGTTGGGGCTGCAGTAGTTGGAGCAGCTGTAGTTGGGGCTGCAGTAGTTGGGGCAGCAGTAGTTGGAGCAGCAGTAGTTGGGGCAGCAGTTGTTGGAGCTGAAGTTGTTGGAGCTGAAGTTGTTGGAGCAGCAGTAGTTGGGGCTGCAGTTGATGGAGCAGCAGTAGTTGGGGCTGCAGTTGTTGGAGCAGCAGTAGTTGGAGCAGCAGTAGTTGGGGCTGCAGTTGTTGGAGCAGCAGTAGTTGGGGCTGAAGTTGTTGGAGCAGCAGTAGTTGGGGCTGCAGTTGTTGGGGTTGCAGTTGTTGGAGCAGCTGTAGTTGGAGCAGCTGTAGTTGGGGCTGCAGTTGTTGGAGCAGCTGTAGTTGGAGCAGCTGTAGTTGGGGCAGCTGTTGTTGGGGCAGCAGTTGTTGGAGCAGCTGTTGTTGGGGCAGCAGTTGTTGGAGCAGCTGTAGTTGGAGCAGCTGTAGTTGGGGCGGCAGTTGTTGGAGCAGCTGTTGTTGGAGCAGCTGTAGTTAGAGCAGCTGTAGTTGGGGCAGCAGTAGTTGGGGCGGCTGTTGTTGGAGCAGCTGTAGTTGGAGCAGCTGTAGTTGGAGCAGCTGTAGTTGGAGCAGCTGTAGTTGGAGCAGCTGTAGTTGGAGCAGCTGTAGTTGGAGCAGCTGTAGTTGGAGCAGCAGTAGTTGGGGCAGCAGTTGTTGGGGCAGCTGTAGTTGGAGCAGCTGTAGTTGGGGCGGCAGTTGTTGGAGCAGCTGTTGTTGGAGCAGCTGTAGTTAGAGCAGCTGTAGTTGGGGCAGCAGTAGTTGGGGCGGCTGTTGTTGGGGCGGCTGTTGTTGGGGCAGCAGTTGTTGGAGCAGCTGTTGTTGGGGCAGCAGTTGTTGGAGCAGCTGTAGTTGGGGCAGCTGTAGTTGGAGCAGCTGTAGTTGGGGCGGCAGTTGTTGGAGCAGCTGTTGTTGGAGCAGCTGTAGTTGGAGCAGCTGTAGTTGGGGCAGCAGTAGTTGGGGCGGCTGTTGTTGGGGCAGCAGTTGTTGGAGCAGCTGTAGTTGGAGCAGCTGTAGTTGGGGCAGCAGTAGTTGGGGCGGCTGTTGTTGGGGCAGCAGTAGTTGGGGCTGCAGTTGTTGGAGCAGCAGTTGTTGGAGCAGCTGTAGTTGGGGCAGCAGTAGTTGGGGCTGCAGTTGTTGGAGCAGCTGTTGTTGGGGCAGCAGTTGTTGGAGCAGCAGTTGTTGGAGCAGCTGTAGTTGGGGCAGCAGTAGTTGGAGCAGCAGTTGTTGGAGCAGCAGTTGTTGGAGCAGCTGTAGTTGGGGCGGCTGTTGTTGGAGCAGTTGTAGTGGGAGCAGCTGTAGTTGGGGCTGCAGTAGTTGGGGCGGCTGTTGTTGGAGCAGCTGTAGTGGGAGCAGCTGTAGTTGGGGCTGCAGTTGTTGGGGCTGCAGTTGTTGGAGCAGCTGTAGTTGGGGCTGCAGTTGTTGGAGCAGCAGTTGTTGGAGCAGCAGTTGTTGGAGCAGCTGTAGTTGGGGCGGCTGTTGTTGGAGCAGTTGTAGTGGGAGCAGCTGTAGTTGGGGCTGCAGTAGTTGGGGCGGCTGTTGTTGGAGCAGCTGTAGTTGGGGCAGCAGTAGTTGGGGCAGCAGTATTTGGGGCGGCTGTTGTTGGAGCAGCTGTAGTGGGAGCAGCTGTAGTTGGGGCTGCAGTTGTTGGATCAGCTGTAGTTGGGGCAGCTGTTGTTGGGGCTAAAGTTGTTGGAGCTGCTGTAGTGGGAGCAGCTGTAGTTGGGGCTGCAGTTGTTGGATCAGCTGTAGTTGGGGCAGCAGTAGTTGGGGCGGCTGTTGTTGGAGCAGCTGTAGTGGGAGCAGCTGTAGTTGGGGCTGCAGTTGTTGGGGCGGCTGTTGTTGGAGCAGCAGTAGTTGGAGCAGCTGTAGTTGGGGCTGCAGTTGTTGGATCAGCTGTAGTTGGGGCAGCAGTAGTTGGAGCAGCTGTTGTTGGAGCAGCAGTAGTTGGAGCAGCTGTAGTTGGGGCTGCAGTTGTTGGATCAGCTGTAGTTGGAGCAGCAGTAGTTGGAGCAGCTGTAGTTGGGGCTGCAGTTGTTGGATCAGCAGTTGTTGGAGCAGCAGTAGTTAGAGCAGCTGTAGTTGGGGCAGCTGTAGTTGGGGCTGCAGTTGTTGGGGCAGCAGTTGTTGGAGCAGCAGTTGTTGGAGCAGCTGTAGTTGGGGCAGCAGTAGTTGGGGCAGCAGTTGTTGGAGCAGCAGTTGTTGGAGCAGCTGTAGTTGGGGCTGCAGTTGTTGGGGCGGCTGTTGTTGGAGCAGCTGTAGTTGGGGCTGCAGTTGTTGGAGCGGCTGTAGTTGGAGCAGCAGTAGTTGGAGCAGCTGTAGTTGGGGCAGCAGTTGTTGGAGCAGCTGTAGTGGGAGCAGCTGTAGTTGGGGCTGCAGTTGTTGGAGCGGCTGTAGTTGGAGCGGCTGTAGTTGGAGCAGCAGTAGTTGGAGCAGCAGTAGTTGGAGCAGCAGTAGTTGGGGCTGCAGTTGTTGGAGCAGCTGTAGTTGGGGCTGCAGTTATAGGAGCAGCAGTAGTTGGTGCGTCTGTGGGTGCATCTGTGGGTGCATCAGTTGGTGCGTCTGTGGGTACATTTGTTGGTGCAAAAGTTGTTGGTTTATCAGTTCGTGCAGCAGTTGTCGGTGCAGCATTGTTTGTCACAGATGGCGTGCTGGCAGACAGAGAGAGGTCCACCCTGCTGGCAGCAACTAAATTAAAATTAGAGGAAAAATTGGATTAGAGCAGATTCCAGGAAGCTACTGTCGGTCTAATGATCTGGTTTAATTACCGCTATTAACCTAAAATAAGCAAATTCTGCACTGAACTGATTTTAATAAAATTATCAAATGCTAATGTTGGTTATTTATACTTAGTTTTTATCATTTATTTGTATTATATTTATGAATACGTCGACATAACTATTGAATTGATATTTGTTTGTTTTTTAAAATGATCTTGTGTTTTTCATTTGATTTTATTATGTGTTCGTCACAGAGTTGGGAGAAGTACTGCGATCTTGTACTTGAGTAAAAGTAGAAGTACTCAGATCTTGTGGTTGAGTAAAAGTAGAAGTACTCAGATCTTGTACTTGAGTAAAAGTAGCAGTACCAGAGAGTAGTAAAAGTCCTACATTCAAAATGTTCCTCAAGTAAAAGTATAAAAGTATTCTCATCAAAATATAGTTAAAGTAGCGACAGTAAAAGTAGTCATTGTGCAGATTGGTCCATTTCAGAATAATATATATGATATGTTTTATAATGATTGATCATTAAAGTGTTCTCAAAGCTGGTAAAGGTGCAGCTGGTTTGAATGACTTTGTATACTGCAGGGTAGCTTGTGAATTTACTCCAGGTGGAACTAAAGTCTGATTTAACACTTGATTATATTTCACATCATTAATCCAGATCTGTAAAGTAACTAAAGGGATTAAATACATGTAGTGCTACTAAATGTACTGTATTTACTGTTAAGGTGCAGCAGTACCACTTACCTGCCAGCAGGAGGAGCAGAGCGTGCCTCATTGTGATACTGTCACACTGTGAGGAGAACACACACATTCAACCTGTCAGTAAGCCTGTATTACACACACGCACGCACGCACGCACGCACGCACGCACACACACACACACACACACACACACACACACACACACATACACACACACACACACACACACACACACACACACACACACACACACACACACACACACACACACACACACACACACACACACACGGTTCAAGGTTCAAGGGGGTTCAAGGTTCTTTATTGTCAATCTGACATAGTTACAGAGTAATTATGTAATTGAAAATCTTATGTCACAGGCTTCTCCAACAATGCAACATAATAACATAATAACAATAAGAGCAAGAGCAATACAAAAAGAAAAATAGTTATAAAATAAAATAAAGTTATGATGTGGAATAGTGCAATAGAGTCTATATACAAGTTATTGGAATGATATATATATATATTAGGTATTAGATACATACTACTGAGTAGCAGATGAATGTTTGAAGTTGTTTCAACAGTTCAATTTTTTAACAGTCTCACTGCCCGCGGGAAGAAACTGTCTCCGAATCTTCTTGTCCTTGCCAGGATGCTGCGGTAACGTCTGCCAGACGGCAACAGAAAGAACAGTTTGTGGCTGGGGTGATGGGGGTCTTTGATAATCCGTAGTGATTTCTTCCTGAGCCGCTGGGAGTAAAGGTCCTCCATGGATGGCAGCTCCGTCCTGGTGATGTGCTGTGCAGTTTTCACCACCCTCTGTAAAGCCTTACGATCGAGGTCGGTGCAGCTGCCGTGCCAGGCCGTCATGCTGCCAGTCAGGATACTCTCTATGGTGCACCTGTAGAAGTTGCAGAGTATCCTGGAATCCATTTTGAACCTCCTCAACCTGCGGAGGAAGAAGAGCCACTGTCGAGCTTTCTTGGTGATGGTGGTGGTGTGAAGAGACCATGTCAGGTCCTCAGTGATGTGGACCCCAAGGAACCTGAAGCTTTTGACTCTCTCCACCGTAGTCTCATTGATGGCGATGGGGGCGTGTCCCTCTCCCTGCTGCTTCCTGTAATCCACAATCAGCTCCTTTGTTTTGCTGATGTTGAGATGGAGGTTGTTCTCCTGGCACCAAGATGTCAGGTTTTCGACCTCCTCTCTGTACGCCGTCTCGTCATCGTCTGTGATCTGGCCGATGACGGTCGTGTCATCAGCAAACTTCACGATGGTGTTGGAGCTGTGTGTGGCCACGCAGTCGTGAGTGAACAGGGAGTAGAGGAGAGGGCTGAGCACGCAGCCTTGAGGGGCACCGGTGTTGAGGATCAGGGTGGAGGATGTGATGTTTCCCACCCGCACTGCCTGGGGTCTGCCCGTCAGGAAGTTCAGGATCCAGTCACAGAGGGCGCTGTTGAGCCCGAGGTCTCTGAGCTTGATGGCCAGCTTGGAGGGCACAATGGTATTGAATGCTGAACTGTAGTCAATGAACAGCATTCTCACATATGTGTTCCTGTTCTTCGGGTCCAGGTGTGAGAGGGCAGTGTGGAGGGTGAGGGCTATGGCGTCGTCTGTGGACCTGTTTGCTCTGTAGGCAAACTGCAGGGGGTCCAGAGATTCAGGGAGGGAGGAGGTGATGAATGATCTCTCACACACACACACACACACACACACACACACACTAAACTGTCAAAGATTTCTGATACAGATTTTATTGACATGCTTTTATTTAACAATAAAAATGAAAAAGATAAATTCCCAATGAAGCACAGCAGACCTCCTATTCACATGTTATTGATCCAAATCACCTGAAAGTGAGTGTGTTTTAGTGTAAAGACTCCAACAGGTGAGGAACCCTCCCTTCATGGAGGCCTGATAACACGTGGTGAACGCTGAGAGACGCTGCCACTCGGAGCCTTTTTACAAACTCTAAAACACTCTTTTTTTATCCTTTTTATTATTTAATGTTCATGTTTCACAGAAATAGCTTTAGGTCCCGTTCAAATGTACAAAAGGTTCAATCTGCAGCTTCGTTGCATTCAATGCACATTGTGAATCCTCCAGTCAGATGTAGTAGTGTTTGATTTGACCTTTTATTGGACATTTTACTCCATCGTCCTGTGTTTTTATAAATATTGTAATTTTATTTTGTATTTATTGGAACATTTTCTTTCCAATAAATACATATTCATATTTGTAAATAATTGTATCTTTAATTTTACAATTTTTAAAAATATTTTCTATGAATATTTTTATTTAATTTTCTTTATTTTACATTTTATTTGTAATTATTTTGTTTACATGCAAATCCTTTTATTTTAAACTACTTTCTCAAACCCAGTAGAAGCAGCTATGGGACCAGTAAGAAATGTACATTTACACATGTGTTCATATGGTCCAATGCTAATCCACACAGTGTTTCCAGTAGCTGAATGTGAACCAGTAACATGCTCTTATTAAAAACAGGTTAATATAAAAACCATCACAACACACTGGGAAACACCCAGAGGACTTGTAAAGTACATTTAGCTGACAAAACGTTTGTATTTTAATCAGAAATCGTGCAAAATGAGTCCTTTGTGTACTTAAAGTCATATTTTAATACTTTTGTTCCTTTACTAAAGTCATGTTTAGGACTTTATAATGCTACTCCACCTAAAACTGGCCTGAAACCATTAAAGCTTTATTTTTACTTTACTTTTAAAGTACATTTAGCTGATAAAGCGTTTGTATTTATATCAGAAATCGTGCAAAATGAGTCCTTTTTGCACCTAAAGTCATATTTGAACACTTTTGCACTTTAACTAAAGTCACACTTAGGACTAAATAACTTCGCCCTGAAGCCATTACAGATTGATGGGAATCAGCGAGGACTCACCTTGAGTCGATGGATGGAGGTCCGCAGCAGCTCTGGAGAAAGAGGGCGATGGATCTCAAGATAACGTGCCTTCCTCCCTCAGAGTCTCTTCTTATGAGGCCTCGGTCTGCCCCCCCCCCCCCCCCCCCACCCCGAAGGTCTGATGGGTTTCTCAACTCGTCATAAAACCTCCCAAACTGGCTGAAGTCGCCCACTCTTCATAGCAATTACCAGAGGGGAATGCAGCGAGAGCAATCTGCAGAAAATAGTTTCTAACGTGACGCACTTGAACATTATGATCCAGAAAAACAGGAGCATTTACACAAGAGAGCTGTTTACCTGAGACACACAGGTGGGACAATTAGGTCAGAAAACACCTGAGACACACAGGTGGGACAATAAGGACAGAAAACACCTGAGACACACAGGTGGGACAATAAGGTCAGAAAACACCTGAGACACACAGGTGGGACAATATGGACAGAAAACACCTGAGAAAGAACCCTTTAAACGTATAACAATAACCTAAGAACATGGATGAGTAATTACAAACATATATATGTTCATAAAAATGTAGAGATATAGATAAAGATAGAATACAATAAATAGGAGCATTTAAAAAATAAACAGAAATACTAGAAAAATATGTAAATAAAATAGTGTTTAAATATATGAGGGATAAATAAACACATCCGACTACATAGAGACACTAAAGGACTACATAGAGACACTAAAGGACTACATAGAGACACTAAAGGACTACATAGAGACACTAAAGGACTACAAAGAGACACTAAAGGACTACAGAGAGACACTAAAGGACTACAGAGAGACACTAAAGGACTACAGAGAGACACTAAAGGACTACAAAGAGACACTAAAGGACTACAGAGAGACACTAAAGGACTACAGAGAGACACTAAAGGACTACAAAGAGACACTAAAGGACTACAAAGAGACACTAAAGGACTACAGAGAGACACTAAAGGACTACAGAGAGACACTAAAGGACTACAGAGAGACACTAAAGGACTACAAAGAGACACTAAAGGACTACAGAGAGACATTAAAGGACTACAGAGAGACACTAAAGGACTACAGAGAGACACTAAAGGACTACAGAGAGACACTAAAGGACTACAGAGAGACACTAAAGGACTACAGAGAGACACTAAAGGACTACAGAGAGACACTAAAGGACTACACAGAGACACTAAAGGACTACAAAGAGACACTAAAGAACTACAGAGAGACACTAAAGGACTACAAAGAGACACTAAAGGACTACAGAGAGACACTAAAGGACTACAAATGGATACAAAGAGACAAACAATGAGGACACGGAGGTGTGGACTTGTTGTTCTGCTTCTCACGATTTGCATTCTCTGCAGCTTCATCACAATTATCTTCCTGTGATTCTGCTGAAAAGTGAAGTGCCTGCATTGTCAACTCTCCATTCAGGTGTCACTCAGAGCCTTTCAAATGCTGTGCATCCACATATAAGTCCTGAGGCGTTCAGGTACTCTCAGACCCGGCGGCAGACATACATCTGTGGGCGGGCATTTGATTTACCAGGGCGGGCCGACCCCCAGGCCCCACCCCATTTTAACGTAACATATGTGCATATATAGTTGCAGACAGATTTAGGCGTTATTTTTGTGCACGCAATGAAACATTTTGAGCATAGGAAATGTTTCCGCTGCTGCTGCACACTAGTGTTAATTTCGTTGACTAAAACTATGACGAAATATGTTCGTCAACGACCTTTTTTTCCATGACGAAAACGAGACGATGACGAGACGGCACCGACGGCAGTAAACAATAACTGTAACGAAATCATCATGCAATATCGTTATCAAAGATAACGTTACATCTCTGATAGTCAGTTTTTCTCCCAGCAGTTCCATTACAGAGAAGAGTACCGTACTCTTCTCTGTACGAACATCTGTCAAATAACATGTGGGCTTCAAAGGAAAATCTAATTCTGCTGCGCTATCACAGTCCGGCTTTACAGGTCAAGTGCACAGGAAGTCCCATTTAGTTCCAGCTATTACAGAAAAACTACAGCTCCTTTTCCGATCAAACTTAGCAGAGAGGAGTAGTATGATCTCAGGAAGAGGCGGTTACATTTTGGGGTGAAATGTTGAAAAACCCATCATTTGACACAAGAA